GTGCTAGAATATGGATTAACAATTATGAAACAAACATGGAGTGATATAACGTACCCTTTGCATATATTTGAGTCAACAAGGATATACGAGTCTGGATCCTTCTTTTCACCGTTGGAATCATAGAAATCATTGAGCTACAGAAGGTCAAGAGATGAGAAATAGACTCGTTCGAATGGAAAGACAATTACAGACCGTATTTTCAAGTTCAAGCAAACTCGTAACAGGTACAGCGCCAACTGCCTTGCTTCGTTCCACTGCTGTCCAGTGAGGTGCCTCTGCAGTATTAAAAGGACACCGGTTTGTTGGTACATGGAATTTTGTCTGTATAGTATGCACAGGACACATCTCATAAATACCTTTCGATGCTTCCGGTAAGGTGTACAATGGCTTAAGTTTGGACACGCTGGGCATGGAGGTATAAACTGGGTCATAAACTCGGTCCAGAGACTGGAACAAGGTGGTAAACGGAAGAAGCTACCTCATTGTTAGAGACGTTATCAAGCCTCAAAACACCAGACTCACTTTACTTGAACCTCATCTAAGCTTTTTTGATTGATTTCAACGCTCAGAAAATGGTGCAGCTGCCATTGGCCAGTGGAGTCGTTCCAGAAAGATATTTTGAACCAGGGCGCTTCAAGCACTGTGAGTGACAGTGAGACATTGAATATGCGGTATAATTAAGTCTTGAATCAATTATAGGCTGGTTCCCCTGACTACAACACCATTCAGTAGGAAAAGATTGATCCAGAATAATACACACAACCTGTTGGAGAGCGAAGAAGGACAGCAAGGCCAGAATATCCTCCATAGAAGAATAATCTGAACGGCTAACTTGAACCCACATAGCACTGGCAGCCAATAACAGGAGGACAAATGGCGTTGCTTGAAACGACAGTTTAACAAAGGTTCAATGCAAGCTGATACAAGTAGCTTACCAGCGGCAGCCAAATATACAAGACTAGTTCCTATGGAGTACCAGGATCGGAAAGTTGAAGGTATGACTCTGCCTCGTTGGCAAAATCGGCCATACTGAGGGAACCCAGTCTCTTCCTGCGGGCTTCCTTGCACTGTCTGAAAATAGGTGAGATCAAATGTCAATTGAAAGGGAAACAAAAAATTACCCATCACAAGTAATCACTAGCTGCAGATACGAGAGCATGAGCTTGTAATCATGGAGTCCCTCCATCTCATGAAGAATCTTACATCGACGTGCAATAGCAACGAGGGACGTGTCATTCCATTCCAACTTCTCTTTAGGTGGCTGCATAAGATGGCGTGTTATGCGACCCAAAGCTTCCACCGTTCGTTGTTCAGAGGAGACGGTTGAGAGACGAGTCAATAGCTGGAGTGAGTCTGGGGAAGGCGGTGGTAGTGTGAGAGAGTCAGTCCAAGTAACAACCCTTTTGGCGCCCTTGGACTTGCATCCTCCAGATGACTGTTTCTTCCTTCGAGACGTTGTCTTTTGTTTCCTATCTCCCTTCCGCTTCTCACATTCTCCAGGAAGGCGTGCTTCAACCACAAATCCATCTAAATCTCCATCGGAATCATCAGGATCATAATCGTCATCTGGAACACTGACGCGAGGTCTCTTTGTGGGCGGTGCATCTGCTGAATCATCAAGTAAATGAATACGTCGAGGTGCTGGTGGATCAGGATCGGGATCGTGAACTGCAGCCCCAAGCTCTTCAACAGGTCGTGAGTGACTGATAGGGTTCAGCATCTCAGTACCACCTAAAATGCCCTTGTCGTTGGTGCTTTCGCAGTCTGAGACGCCACCACCAAAGTTATTGAAGGCCTGAGGTGGCATCACAGGAGAGGGAGAGGAAGATGCGCCAAAGACAGTCACCTCTTCCCAGTCACTGATGGCAGCATTGAAGGAGGGGGTGGCAAAAGGCAGAGACAGCTTCAGAGGAGAAGAAGTCACACCGTATACGGTTTTTCTCATCCTCAAAATCACTGTCTGTGCTGTCAAGTGGTGACAAGGGTGGTTGAATAGGGGATAGTGTATATTCCAAGTTGTCGTTGTGAGAGTCAATGGGAGAGTCGACGACGTCAGATGACAATGATGGATATACCAAAGTCATATCACCCTGAGAGTTGTGGCCAGGGTCGCCGAAAGTGCCATCACCATGGGCAATGGCGTCGTGGGCGTGAAAGGGCAGTGGGGCACTGAGGACCAGAGAAAACTTCACAGGGCACAAAGACACGCCAGATACAGTTGCGTCAACATCACAGTCACTCTCGACCTGCATCAACAGACATGGAAGGGGGATCTATGATAGTACTGTGAGCACAAATCAGGTCCAAAGGAATTTTACGAGCCTATTTCATCACAATTCCTGTTCAGACTCATCCCTTCATTGAGTCCTGATAGCAAGGCCCTGTAATGGCTCGCGTCTCTTCCCCTACTTTCCTCTGCATTGATGAGGGTGGTAACAGATTCAACAAGGTGTTGGACAGTGTCCTCTGAAAGGGTGATTGTGATGGCCATAGTAAACAAGCTAGCCCCTGTCACAGAGTATCTATCCGAAAGGTTGCTGCGCAGTCGGTAGATTGGAGGACTGGAACGGATACACGTGCACCCAAGGGAGACAGATAAATGGCAGCACAGTTGTGCTCGACAATGTGAGCGAGGGAGGATGTTGATTGTGGCAGTGTTAGCGCATCATGTCACATCACGAGATATTTGGGTCCACGGTCTGGCAGAGTCTGAGAGCGTGTTCAGACTCGAGTCTGTGACGCGTGGGGTCCTATTTGGCTGCAGGGTGTTGAGGGGTGAGTGCAAGGTTTGGTTGACATCACGTGGTCACGTCTCCCTCCGTTTGCACACAGGAGCTGGATCTATAGACAGGCTGCTCTGGGTGTCTTTCACTATGCAGACATCCTCCCTCCCAACAAATGCACACCCGGCCATCGCAAGCTCTAATACTCCTACCACAAGACGTACAACCTCCCCACTTATCGTCAACGTCAAGCCATGACTATCGAACGGACGACGACCTCCTGACGACCTCCTGGCACTCCTAACCCCCATACCAAAAGACTCAACCAAACAACGAAATACGGTGATCAGACGAGACATGTGTTTGATTCGTTGGCGGCGAGTCAACGTGATCATCTTTTTCTTCTGCCATCATGCTACTCACCCCACCTCCCTCTCACCACCGCTATCCAAGGCCCTCATCGATAATTGATAATCCCTCAGGCTAGTGGATGATGTAACACCTTTCTGTGAGTAAAATTTTTACATTGATTTTGTATGATATTTACCTTTCATTGCAGCCGACTTTTTCACCACTTCCAAGCTCAAGATGGACCACGAATTTTCAGAATATTTGGCCCCACGGTGAGCTGAATGCATGCTCAGAAGGACTTGAGCATCTGGGCATGGCGTGGATGTGTGGGAGCCTGGAGGAGGGCATCGAAGATTCCTGGCCGTGGATGCAAAGTAAGTCCTGTTATGCGCATTGTCATTCATTTTATTGAATACATCCTTTTGCAGTACAACATCCTCTCCATCTCCCTCAATGACTGTACACGCCGCTTCCCCGCCGACGACGGTACTACCTGCTCAAATCATGCAATTCGACCACCGGCTCTCCCCTGACGTGCCATACCATCTTGCCTGCCTCCCGTAGCCTCTCCTGGTGGTTTGCCAACGCGACAAGGTTATCGAACGACTGCCATAGCCCTTCTTGTCGTAAAAATGGCGCTCGACGGCGTAGGCAGAGTCGAGTCAGTTGAGGGTCTGTTCATTAAAGGTAGTGCGATCCGGAGAGGCACTGGGCTGCTGTGCGGAGTCGAGTACGATGTCGTAGCCCCACTGCTCTCAGCTGTGCGAAGGTCTCCATCGTTGTTCATAGCGTCGAAGGAAACGACATGACTGTCTTGGAGGAACGATGGACACCGCGTAGATAAGGATCATCCTGCCATTGGCTCGATATGATCCTGATAGTGATACCCTGCTGCGACCCATCCCATAACCCCCACACGCGCATCGGCGTTAATCGCTGCTGGATTCGCAGTTCAGGGACTTCAATAACCCTAGAATCCATCGAGGGATTCGATATCGGCCACCATCTCACAGAACAATGACCCACGGAGCCCAAACCCAACAACAGCAACGACACCAACAACGACGACGACGCCGATGACAGGAATGAGTTTGGGACTTCGAGAGCGATGGAGGAACATGATATATGATGGAGCAGGGCTGTAGGGCAACGACGAGGACACCGGGATGGGCTGTGGGGAAGAAGGGTACAAGGAGGAGGGTGGGACGAAGATCCTGGCACCGACGTCCAACGACGATGTCCATCTGGGCGTCTATTCTCCTCCCAGTACGCGACAAACGGAAATCATATCTCTAGGAGCGGTACGCTACTATTTGTCAAATTTCTTTAACTACTTGTTCATCTAATTATTGCACATATATTGAATACAGTAGTTTCCTGCTGTACACTGTGAATGTGAGAGACGGCGTGCGGGGGATGCGCGTGTGGATAGTAAGTCCTTTCCATAGTATGCTTCACTTGGTTAATAACTACGAGTTAACGAATATTTCATCTCAGGATTATATCTACAACAGAACAGTGAGCGGAAACTGCAAGGGAGGGAAGAGGATGACATCGAGCTACAGGAAGGTCAGTGGTGGCAGACTCTATCAATCAACAGAGATGACTTACCCTCCACGCATGCATGTGCACACATCCTCCCTCCTGTGATACATTCCTCCCAGTACCGCACTACTCCAAACCTTGCTCGCCGGACGACGATACATCGTCTCGGCCCAAAAACGGGTTCTTGAGGGGACCACATTTTGATGTAGACATCAGAAGTACTGCAGATCAGGTGAGCAGAGATTGACATGTCTCAAGGAAGGAACTTACCATTATATCTTTCACCTTCACACAGGGCTCGCTCGCCAGACGACAATACGTCGTCTCGAGCCAAAATTCTCCTGGATTCCGATGCTTCGTCTCGTTCGACACGTCGTTGGCACGACGCTTGAGGTAGTCGCTCGATAGAAAATGTCTACAAAGATGTGAGTGCCACAGTTGGTGAAGAAACAAAAACTTACAATTTCTGGTGCATCAGCCGCCATCCGCAACTCTACCGTCTCTCTTGTATTACCTCTACCACTCCCACACGCCTGGTCTTGCTCGCCAGACTGACGATACGTCATCTCTGTCCAAAATCTGTCCTTCCAGCTCGAAGGCACGCTCGTCTCGGCCTAGCGTAGTCGAGAATTTGCGCGTACACAGTCATCAAGGGAGTGTTGGAAGTGCGGAGAGCAGACGATGGAGGTCGTGCTGTAGAGGGGAAGTCGTCAATAAGATGTATTGCCGGGGGCAGGAATAAACTTACATCCAGTCTGCAGGTAGGACACCTTCGATGCGCATCCTCCGCGCCCCACACCATTGAGGTCCTCCTCATCAGCGTGTGTTCGCTCGCTGCAGGGCAATTTTTTTCGACAATTTAGTCTTCATCTTAAGCTTGCGAGCGATCGGAACAGCCAGCTAAAATAAAGGTAAGTAACATAGAAAACCAATCGCAAATTAACTCACAAACTTCATTCAGCAACCTGAGACTGCGTCAAAGTCATCTTGAGGGACTCAACTAAAGTGGAGGGGGGCGAATGGAGAACAGGAGCAAGAGGGAGCATGGTGGGAGGAAGAGACGACCTTCGAGTTGCCGGCGGCAACTCGCGCGTTCTTCTTTTGGACATCGACGCCTATCCCGCAAGACTGTCAATACCATACGCTGCGACACGTAGGCTCCCCACGCACCAACATGATACGGTGACAGGGCGAGGCTTGGAACGTAACAGACGGGAGACAGGGGGAAGGTAAGGGGGCAGAAAGACGTCAAGCTGCAGGAACTTACCTTCTTTTATATACACCCAGAACTTCATTGTGTTTCAAAGCACCCGAATATGCGGCGCCAGTCATTCACGCGAAGGATTCCTTTAGCATTATGAGAGGGTCGTGCAATGAGAAATTTGATGTCAGCGGCAAGTACCTAAATGAATACAAAAATACTCTTACCTTCTAGCCGTCCCAGTGTCGTTCAAATTGAGTGACGTCGAGAGTTTCCCTGCGCAAATCAGAAGAAATCAGAACACAAAGGAAGACGAACTGTCAGCAATGATGTCAGCTCGAGGACTTTCCGAAAGCAGCTTGAGATTGATCTGGTAAGCGTTGAGGGTGATTATTTCATTCATCCACGTTCCAGTCAATGCCATTTTTCCAAGGTGGGTGGCCTTTATTTACTTGATGTATCATCTCAAGATAAATCCTATTGTTCAGGAAATTTAGGGCCCCGAAGAACCTTCGCAGATGAATCTTTCATGACCCGGTCACTGCGGCACCTCTGACATCTGGAACTCGTTCGTTTTCCATCTCGTCGGGTTCGAATATACTGGTAAGCTTTCATAATAGTATTTCCGCTAACGTATAATGTTTTAGGCCTTCAAACATCGAAGGGAATCCACGCATCGGCCCAAAGAATACCTCGATACTGGTTCCTCCACCTCTGAATCCCTCGACATCTTCAGGAAATTCAAAAACACGGGGACCTCGATGGCGTACATAGCCCTTCATGCAACCATCAAAACGTGCGATGTTTGCTGTCTCGCTTGCTATCCGAAATTTGGAAGGGATATCGCGTCCTCCCTCACGATTCACAAGGGTTTGGCTCCTTCCAGTCACTCGGGAATCCAAACAGGACCACGCACACTGGCTACAAAGTATATTCAAGGCTTGAACAGTGAACAACGCCCTCGGAAGGAGAACGTCAAATGCACAGCCGAATCGAAACACTGGAGTAGGTCAAGTTCCAAAAATAGCGCGACGTTGATCTCGAGATATCCGAGGCAGGTTATTTTACTAGTCCATCATACGTTCATCCTGTATTTGATCGTAATAACTCTAGGCTTTTTATAGCACTTCATAATTTAATAGAACTTTGTAGTAAATCCCCCCAAAGGCCTCGGCAAATGAATATTCAAAGTTACAGAGCTCAAGCCGATCTGAGCCTATTCATCCTCCCTCCAAGACTCTCGTTCTTGACCTCAGTTTGCCCAGATGACTCCTGTGAGTATTACTGGTCGTCTGTTAACTGAATGAATTGTTTCAGATCCACGTATCTCCCCAAAACAGTTATGAGAATACACGCACCATGAGGTGTACCGTTGTCAAGGCTGAGATCGAATATCAGTGCGTTTCTCTTCTCCTCCTTTCCATCTTTTGTTCACTAATGCAATATATGTCTGTGCTTCTCAAATCTCCTACCCGTGGATAACTGATGACATGCGGACCGTGTGCGCAGATCCGAGGTAAGCTAACACTTTGCTCTGTTAGCGGCTGAGCTGACAAATCGTTTATCTCAGAATCGAAGGTACAATGCTACTACGGGCGGGGCAAGTCTTGTTGGAGATGAAAAGGCCGGTACACGATCCCGGTACGTTTCCCTCCCCTTTCCCTCTTTCTCTCAGCTGACACAATGCTCGTTCGCTAGGATTTCGCTGCTCAAAGCTACCGTCCATAGCTGACGACGACAACGCAGGTCCTGAGTGATAGGAACACGAGCATCCATGATGTGCCAAATGGGGATGTCTGCATTCGCAGACTGTGAAGGTGGTCTTACAGACGTGGTAGGTGTTATCTATGTTATTTTCTCTTCGTTTGGTTGACTGGTCTTGCTTAGAGACATATGCTGCATCGCATCTCTAATGTATTCAGTACGTGCGTTGGCCTTTAAAATTGGCTTTGATACTAACTACACACTCTAGCTACATAAATAAACGATTCATTCCTTGCTCTGTAAGTTTTCGTGTTGACTGACATGAACCGGGAGCTAACAGCTGATTAGATATTCTTTTCACAAAATCAAAGTTCTGGCTGAAGTAACGTACGCGTGATGTTGTCCCACGAGGTAAGTATTCGATTTTGGGCTTGCGAGAGCTTAGACTTATGCCTCGTTTACAGATGACATTGTCATTGACATCTGGCGAGGTATTACAGTTCATTTACCCTGCTGCGACTAATGCCAGACTAACGACTCTGCAGTGGAGGGGTAGGGGCGGCATGCACTGAAATTTCGAGATGCAGGAGTCACTGGCAGAGGGATGATGGTCCTCGGAAGATGGATGACAATGATTTCACTTTTTTGTGAGTACTTCTGTCACAAAATCTGTATCCTATAGTGTCTTATAGTTGCAAAACAGGTAAATATATGATTGCAATAAGTAAGTATGTATCTATATATGTCAATGCCTTTTGCCTATGTAGGCCAATGCCTTCATGCAGAGATACATATCCTCGTCCACAACGTCCACGACTAAGTACTCTTTGGACTGGTTGGACTGGTTGGTGGAACCTCTGTTAAATCCAAAGTCCTCGACCAACAGCGCACCTCGGATAATGGAATAAATCGATATGAAAATACATTCATCTCTTTTCTTTGCAGAGACACGATAAAAGCCAAGGTCTTCATCGAGCTTTGCTGTAGTCAGGCTGACTGCCTCCGTAAATGGTTGGATGAGGGCGAGCGGAAAATCTTTGCCACCAATGTTGCAGGTAAAGACCTGTACAAGTTGAGCAAAATATGGACCATCATCATCCTTAACAATTACGCAGTCATATCTTGGATGGTTGTGGAAGTTGGGACTACACCGCAAAATGTCAGTAAGTAATGTCCAGTTCACAGTGCTTTCATAGTTGACTTTGATTGTTCCGTAGAGCCAGATCTAGAGGTCAATTCATCAGTTGAGGTGATTTGAAAGAAGAGGAGGCCAACCTAACCTTTTCGTCCCCAATAAACTGCTCGAACTGGAACTTGTTGCCATTGACAACAGGAACAACATGGGGTAGGTCTTTAAACAAATCCTTCACATACTTTGATAGCTTTTCCGAAAACTTTTTGAAGGCTATATCCTCCCGCTTTGAATCCATCAACTCCTTTATCGACATCATTCCGCCCCCTTTACCACGATTTCCATGCAATGTGGCTTTTCCAGAGTAATCATGCAGCTGTTCTTCCATCTCGTCCTCTATTTCTTCATCTGCCTGCTGGGAATCCTGCCACGCCTTTAGCAACTCATCCTGAACGTCGATTTGCTGCTGTATAAAGCCTGCGGCATTGCACCATGAATCTATTCGGAGGATCTGCTCAGCGACCTCTTTGAAGTTCGTCCTTAGCTGATATGCATCCTTGAGTGGACCATGCATATTTTCATTGGGCTTGGTGTCGTAATTCCGGGATACTCCTTTTGCCAGAATGTCGTCAGGGAGATGCCGGTGTGAATGTACCTTCGGAAAGTTCCAAGACTTTGGTTTCTCGCTAACTGTTCGAGTGAGTTCTTGGTACTCCTGATATGATCATTCAGCTTCAGGGGACTAATTTTAATTAATGTAGGACTGCTTCACCTTGATCAGCTTTCCAAATTTGGTGCTTTCCTCTCGGAGAGCCTTTATAGAACTTTCAGTATGAAGAGTAAACCCTGCATACACATTGAGAACAAGGTAGCTACGGATGCACTTCAATAAATGATATCCATGGCTGTCCTGTGTCTCGCTGAGTATGTTGTGTGTGACAAATATAATTTGCTGTGTTTATTGTCATTTAAATATCAAACTAACACAAACTCGGCTCACCTTTGATAGATCCTCATACTTAGTGCCATCGGTGAAGGTAACTGCCATGAAGCCACTTTCAAAATGATTCAAATCCCTCCAACGAGGAAACTTTTGAACTCTAGAAGCATTGTGAGTTTAATGAGGCGTCACTCATGAAAAGGAGCTTACTGATTATCAGCTTGACTAGCATAAGCATGTCCAAGAGCTTTGATACGACGGACAAGTTCTCCTCGAAGATGATGCCCAAAGAGACCATCCTGAAAGGCGTGTAGCCTATCCCAAGAAAGGGATCAGAATGGATCACATGCCTCAATAGTCCAAAAGACGTTCTGAAAGCCAAAGGTTTGTTACTACACTTCTCATAATGGGAAAAAAAAACTTACGTCAATGTTTCGCAGCCCAAACTCACCAAGATAATCATCCCACAATTCCTGGGTCCTAAGTCCTCTGGCCCTTTGAAGAATTTCTCTGGTACGTTCAGAAGTTCGGAGTTCATATTCCATCTCCAGATTATATTGTTCTAGCTTGGGAACTAGGCAAATTGGACATGGTGCGTCACCATTAACGCCTCGTATCAGAACCATCATTGCCCTAATGATGGTATCAATACATGCTATGCAAGGAAATAATGTGAGGACTGACGCTTCCTCATAGTCACATGATAAAATAGGAAATCATGGAAAGAGTTGGAGATCTCGTTTTGCAAGGGAAAGGTGAATCCAAGCCCCAAACCTACTGGGATCAACCATTGTTTCCAGAACATACTTCATCGCTGTATGCCATACACGACGCTTGAAATCAACATAATATTTCTTTCCGGTATGTTTTGGATCCTCCTTTATCTGCATTTCATTGATTCAGATTCAAAAACATTCTAACAGGATGGAATATTTCAGACCACTGGCAACCAACCAACAACATGTCCACCGCCAACTCCTTTTCCATTCTGAATGTGAACGGGCAGATTTCCACAATGCGCCACTACTGGATAACCTTGTGCAGTCCCAAATGATGATAGACGGGTTTTGTCTGCATACAGGATAATGTACAATGGCTTTCCACCCTCTGGCAGGGCCGTCTAGAGAGGAAAAAGAGATTGAATAAAATGTCAGGTAGGTTAGAAGGTTCGTACTCACTTGGAGATCCCAAAATGCTTGGGCAGTCCAAGGTTCATTGACAAACCTTTCAAATGTGGACCCATTCCACTTTGATAAGTGGGTAGCATCCCAAACAAAATGCGGCTCCAGTGTAGAGTCCTTGACAAGTTCTAGTATCCAGTTCCATAGATTCAAGCAATAAACGTCAAAGCAAACTTCCTTGTCGAGAAGCTTGATAGAACAGGTATGCTTTTCAAACTGTCATTGATATGTTCAGCAAGATCAACGGTTAACAATGATCATACTTACAGGAGTAACCAAGTTTGCTGCACGGTCCCAGCTAGTTTTCACATCCTTTCTAGTTTTGATATCTGAAGGAGTAAGGTGTGCCTCATCTAGTGCCGAGGATTTCAACAGCTTGAAAAACTTGTCCATTTGCCTTTCACTAAGTGCAGCATCTAGGACAAATTCTGCGATGTTAAAATCCCGATGGGATGAGAAGGGATGCCAGGGACATTGATCGATCGGAGGATCAATATGTTGATCTGCTGCTCGGGACCGGTACTGATCAAAATGGTCAATTATGGTCGCTTTACCACTGGATGGGTGGAATATTGTTTGGATGTCATCAACTTGAAGCTCTGGGTCTCCGTTCTCGGCTTCTGATGTCACAGGACTATCGGGTATGTCCACAAAACTATTGGCTTCATCAACATGAGAATCTAACAAGATGTCACCATTAGAAAACACACAGTAGAAAATTATTTTACTCACAAGCATGTGCCCAATCATGATCTGGAGATCATCGGTTAGCTGATGTTGTGGAAATGTCCAGCTGAACTTACTCAAGCTGTCAGAGACCTGACTATCAGATATGTATAAAGATTCATGCGTATCTCCTAGTGTTACTAAAATTATAGTTAGACTATTCGCAACATCAGGCAGATCAACATACCTGATGGAGAAACACTTGACGTAACGTAGGTCGGTTGTAAAACTGCTTTCTCGAAACGTGTATCGGCAACACGCTGGTGCAAGTCTCGCTGACAGGAAACCTCATGTCTTTTGATACCACGGCGAGAAAAAAGGCCACCACAATGGCTGCATGAGATCTTTGGCTCGGAGGACATGAGTATCGATGATTTCTAACAGCTTAACAAAGAGAAGGTTTATATAGCTGAGCAGCACTTGCGCAAGTATAGAATCACTCCATGTGGTTGCAAAATTTCTACATGTGCATCTGTGATGCATCGGTGAGAGCATGATGTCAATAACTTCACATTGTCTCCTCATTTCTTTCATCTAGAGTGGTCTAGCTTGTCAGGCCTAATTGCCTCGAATATTAAGCGATAGGTCTAGAGTTCCTTCTTGGATGTCGAACGGAAAATTGACTTGATTATCTCAGTAGGTTTGAGTACTTTTTTCTGCCTCGTGCAGCGGGCTTCAGGAAATACGTCAGTATACACAGTTCACCGTGTGTCAGTGGTGCATGCTCCCATTTACAATGTTTGACAGATCTGAGTAAAATCCTCGCTTAAGGCAATAAGATTGACAAAATTTGTTGACAAATATGCATATTACTACTGAGTTGTTGTAATCGTCGGGTTTTGCATGATACTGTACTCGGATATTGAGAGTTTATAGACCTTTTTACCATTCTCCGCTTGCTTGTACCATGTGCACTGCATGCAGTGAATGAGACTTTTCCGCTTTTCCCCCTGTCTAATGATATAACACTACTGATTTCCTTATTTCAAATACTCTTGTCCGGTCCGGTCATTACGACAACATTGACAGCACAGCAAAAGTACCCTCGTTATCTTTGAAGCCCGGTTAAAGCTGGCCTTTGGTATAAAAGCCTGTCACAATGTCGTCTGAATTGCCAGTCTTTCACGTTATCGTCCCCATTCCCAGCATCTTCTGGTCTCCTCTCATTTCAAGAAGTTGTCGTTGCAGAAGCGATCTGCGTACGTGTTGGGTGTGTATGCTACATGATGAATCTTTGTGGCTCTGATGTTGTACTATCTAGTTTCCCACATTTACATCTATAATGGCGTCGGGCTCAAACTACCCCCATGGTCAAAATAAGTACGTCTCTTTTCAAAATAACTGTATCGTACTTAAAGCTTAAAACTTGCTATTAGCAACCAATCAACAGGCAATGCCAATAATGTGCCTGACTGGCACATGTCCAGTCCAGGGCCTAGCTCTCCACAACATGGGCAAGTCAGATTATCTTGTCTTTATTGTTGTGATTACTCATAGCTCAGCAGCGCCGTTTCTGCGAGCCCAGGGGAGACCCTGTTGAAAATCAGTAAGTCAATTGAAATTTTCAATCTGCGTGTCAGACCTTGATTATGCCAACACAGATGCTACGGTCCAAAAGCTAGAAAGAGAGATAGGCAACATGGAAGTAAGATCGTTATTATTTTCTAATCTAGCGAGGCATACTGATAGAGTTACAGGATAAACACAATGAAGTGTGTCATAATCTGTCAGCCCTCACGGACAGTTTAAACTCGTACTTGATCGAGATCAATTCTAAGATGGACAAATCGAAACGGGAATATCGATCAATGTCGCAAGATATCCACAGCATAAAGAGTGGGATTGATGGCCTGTCAGGCCTGATGCAGCGCCTCGTTGAGGTGCAGGAGGAGCAACTCGGACAGCTCAACCATCTTGTCCAACACGCACGAGGGCCTCAATCCACCTCTCCCGGTTTATATAGTGGTCCTGGGTCTCCCGGTCCTGGCCAGGCTGGCCCAAATTCTATGGGCCGATATAGTCGCAATTGAGAAGGTGAATATTTGAATCTTATACTCTTAACTTTTGTTATTGATTTTGTGCTTGTTAGCTACCTGGACCTTGTCGGACATTTTTAGCTAAGGTCTTGCCATTTTTGAGAATAGGGTGGCCATTGTTAGGGGGGTTCATTCTGATAATGTTCATTGTCATGTGACTGTATTACTTAATAATTTCAGTTGCCTTATTAGGCTTTGACACTTTTTCCGACAATCGCCTGACTTGAGTCTGTTGTGCCACCAATAAATCTTCCCGAACAAAAAGGCGACATGGTTATTGGTGTGGTACTAGTCCAGTCGGTCAGCAGGATTCCAATCCACTGCATCCTTTTCACCATCTAGTTGGTCCCCGTGTGGCCTCCCGCAGACCAACTTTCGTTTTTCCTTCCCTGGTATGCGCGTCCGATCCACATCTTCTTGATCTTCTTCATCAATCGAAGAACATAGTTTTGGCAGATGACAAGAGTTACACAGTTATCAAAGAGATAGCCAATTCGATTACACTCAAGCTGCAGGCATCCTTCCTAGGCACCTTCCATGGTTGATGCGAACGGGTCCCCTTGGACCAAACGATATCCTGAAATGATGAACAGTCCTGATGGGTCGTGTACGGATTATAGAGATTCGAAAAGTGGATTATACGGTATACAGGGCTGTCCAGGGAAAAATGGGTGCCGTTTTTGAAGTCTCGAGAATATGTAGATGTAGGATAGCACGAACGCACGACAGGGGGAGCCTGATACAGTCCAATAGGGCACAGCTGGCACGTCAATGGAAAGGCTGGAATGGGAGCTTCTCCTCAGCAACGATATGGTGATGGCGAAGACTCTAACGGCGGGTAGGCATGAGCAGAGCTACCATTTCACTCCAAATATGTGATGGCTTGAAGAAAGAAAAGACCCTGGATGGGAGCAGCGTGGACGGACGATAATGGGCATTGAATTGATCTCCCTATCTGACCAACACCTAGTCTGACCGCGGTTCGGTGCAGAACCTCGTGAACCCGGTTTGAACCCGAACTGCACCTTCAGGTTCAGGTGCGGTGCAGGTTCAGGTTCGCTGTAGCTACGTGGGTGCAGGTTCGAGGTTCGAACAAGGCCAGATGGGTGCACCCAAACCTGAACCCCGAACCACTATACATTTTTAACTGCTCTTATTAGGACTTTTATACATATCTTTGAGATGCCTTTCTGTACTATTATCATTTAGGTCCTATTTCTAGTGCATCTTTTCTACTTTGCACCTCCTTTGGCCACGTTTGCGATGGAATTGAGTCATGGTTAGCGTTGGTGATGTCATACTCATTGATGAGTTCACTCATATCTGGCCTTAAATGACATTTATTGGGTGATATACTATAAGTTGAATAAATATACAGTATAATAGACATTGCTAGAACTATCCCGCCCTGCTGTACAGCATCCAGCCTCGACTTTCTGTCTGCTGCTGCATCGGGAGGTGCAAACCCGGTGCACCTTGAACCGCACCTGAACCTGCGGGTTCGGTCACATGATCGCACCGAACTGAACCTGCACCTGAGGTTCAGGTTCGAGGTTCAGGCAAAAGTGCCCGAACCTGCACCGAACCGAACCCCGGTCAGTCTACCAACGCCTGGCAGCCAAGCTCAGCATGCACTCCATCCATGATCTTTCCTGCTCCTGGCTCTACGAGGATTCTTCATGCTGCGCAGCTACGGATTCCTCTTCTTCTTCCATTGTGATATCTTGCGTGTCTCGAGAGCCTCGGGGCAGGATCGTCATGGCTCAGGGAAGGTATCAATTATTGTAAGTAACATCGGAGTCGCTTAGTCAGCAGGCGAATATACAGGATTTCTTTTCGGAGAATGAGTATTCAGATCAAGAAGAAAACTAGACGAACAAAGCTAACTGTATAGCCAAGTACTTCTGACGAAATCGCTTGATATTGTATTCAGAAAGGAGTCATGATGATGCATGAATATCAAGCGGAATGGATTTTCATGGAAATGGGCAGTGATGAAGAGCTCTCGACCTAAGGATGTCGATGGATGGTAATGAAAGTACTCGGAATACGATGAGGTCCAGGATGAGAGTGGATGGAGAGTGATGACGACGGCAGATGGCGACAACGAACTTGCAAGGACAGGGCGAGATCATTCCGTTATTCGCCTGAACATATTCCAATGACCTGCGCTCCGTCAGTCAATATTGCGAATGACTAGTGAACCTTCAACACCTTCATCGTCGATTCGCCACTGCCATTATGGACCTCGGTGTCCTAGACTCCCATATAATCATTGTGTTAGCCACACGGTCGAATCCTTGATGAGCGCTGAGCGCTGAGCTGTGGCGGGAAGATGCTATTTTAATGAGACAAAAAATATCAGAATGGCTGGGGAGGAATTCCGGGGACAAAGGTGCGCATGGGCTTGAGTCTTGGAGAACTTGAAGAACGAAGTCCGGGGCAGCGTGCCGAGAACTTGCTGGTTGATAGGCCTAAAGAGGCAGGAATGAAGCTTGCCGCACCCTCCCCGTGCTCCCAAGACACCTGCACGTTCGACTTGATGAAGATTTCTCATCTCTGACCTGTTAACCAGCGTTTTGACATGTGTAGGACTCTCAATATGAGCTGCAGTAGGAGCAGGTGCGTCTCCTTCTCTTTTCCGGCAGTGAGGCACACGTGCTACCAGCCTAGTGACAGTTTCGGTATCTCAGCAGGCTTGTTACTTGTTAACAGTGACGTGCAGCAACGGTAATAACGATCGGAAGCGAATGCCAGGCAGAATGCCAAATGGTTCTTTGCATCAAATACCGTCCATCGCCAAATAATAGCATAGCATAATCTGCATCGCAGAAGCAAGATGTCGGGGTATGCTGATAGTACCTATTGCTAACCTCTGCTCATGAATATTACTCAACATTAGCAGAGAAATTCAAGGTTACCAGAACCTCTACTACCGCGATTCTTGATTCCGCAGTTGTATCATACGCACTATAAGCTCGATACCGGCTATTCCCACTGTCGCAATACGATCTGCCAAGTCATATACCGGAACCAGCAATCATTGCAAAAGCTGCGAATGAACCCTTTATTGTTTGAAACCTATTGAGCCGGGAATGTCCATCCGAGGCACAAGGGTCAGGCCGCTCAGGAAGCACTGTATTTCTGCAATTAAGTGTGCTAATGTGTTGGCATTCTGCTCAAGGGATGCAGATTTAAATGGGATGTCGGGCGCCGAGCAATTCATTCATTGCATCGCCACAATATACCGTTGCCGGTCTCTCAAATGTCCAGATTCGCCCGTAAGGTTTCCAGATGAACAGCGCGCCCGGACAGTCCTGGAGCATGAGGCGAGGGTCGCGGAAATAGCAGTGGCATAGTATCACGTGATCCGGTGTGACTAACATTCCTTCAAAGTGCTCTCAAGACACTTACATGTCCAACTCGATGCCGTCTCATCTCTGGCCTGTAGGCCAACCTTTTGACATATGTAGTGCTTTCAATCGTCTGTTACAGGATGAACAAGCGGGTTTTTTTACCTTCTTCAGTCGAAGCCCGAGGCTCACTTACGCTACCATGTCAAGGTGTCAACCCCCCTTGCTGCGATCCTTGCTCTCGTGGAATTAATGGAAAAATCTTCTGGTGCGTACTCAAGGGGCCTTTAAGGTATAACCATTCTCAATTTCGATATCTCAGCGGGGACTATGTTTGAATTGGTGAAAGAACTCAAAGCCAGTGCCGAGAATCTCAAGAAACAATTGTCAAATTACATCAGCTTGAATGCGGGTTGCGAGCTGTTCACTGAGTCTGTCACTCTCTTCCCCCATGACACGTCCGTAAGTGTTCGCTTTCCGATTCTTCTGTTCCGTTCTCACATACCTCGGGCGTTTATACAGAGTTTCTCAGAGCTCAAGACCGAACTGATACGACAAGGGCATCAGTACATCATTCAGGTGCTTACTTATCACGCAAAGATTGCAGAGCTTGCCTTCGACTTTATAAAGGATGATTCGGTGGTCAGTCCTTTTCCTATCAGGAACATTCTTTTGTGATGACATTTCACTTGATAAGATACTCACACATTTGTATTCAAGAGTCGTGATGCAAACACTCTCATAGGCTCACAAACGGAAGCGAATATCAGGTAAAATGGCCCATCAAAAATACCGTCCGTCATCAGCTCATATTTAGCATAGTCTTCATTACAGAGGCAAGACCCCGTGGCCTTGCATTGATGCTTTCTCCGGCCTTTTGCTAACGTCTTCTCATTCATACTCCTCAGCATTAAGACCACAGAAAAACTAACGGCTGCCAGAATTCCTACAACCGCGATTCTTGATTCTGCAGTTGCGTACTGGATGGATATGGTTGATTTTGTTCTCGTTGATTCCGAAGCTGTGGTCGAGAGTGGCGGACTCATTAATGCTGTCGGCAGCAACCAGATAGCAATCATTGCAAAAACTGCGAATAAACCCTTTTACGCTCTCGCAGAAAGGTACCATGTGCCGATCGATAAACCTCTTTTTTTTATGCTTCTGACATCCTTTACACAGCTACAAGTTCCGTCGGCTATTCATATTGTCGCAATATGATCTGTCAAGTCATACTCCAAACCTACTTTCCTTCTCTCTACCTATAGGGCGGCCCCTCCACAAATCTTCCATTAATCCGTCTCCGAAATCGTCTTTTGCTTCCGGCGGATCAACTTGGGTGTCATCAGCCCTCGAAGATATGAACATCAACTCCCGCAAAGATCAAGATCAGTGAAGAACAACTCACTCGAAATAATTCAAGTGTAGACTACACCAGGTTCGCCGCCTGGTCTTCGATTTTTTCCTTTGTTAACTGGACCTCTTACTTAGACCCGATCTCATCTCTTTGGTGTTCTCGGATGTAGGCAGCTTGACTCCAGAGGGAGTCAGTCAGTACCTTGTTGGGATGTTTGCAGGATGATCGGGGTATATTTCAATTTCTTTACTGCATTCTAAAGCCCCTGCCGTTCTGGACTCTCTGCGTGAGCGAACGATCATCTTCTGAATGCGGGACACTGTCTACAGTAGGTGCCATACTTGCCTTCGGAACAGATCATGAGTGCAAATTCGAAGTGATGCAAGTAGCATTGCGGGTGGTCCCTTGGCCCCTTGGGTATTAGCCGTCGATCAAACGAAATCGGCGATTGACGAAAAACAATTTAAACAAACAGCATTTGGGGTAAAGAATTTCAGTATCGGATCGTTAGATAACGAAGTCAACATCGGGTACCTGTTTCGTTCTGTTCTGACACGTGGAATCCATAAGAACTTATGAATGCATGGACCGTCATCCTGTATTAACTTTGTAGCAGGGTGGAACTGATGTCACCACTTGCGAAGACGAAGGGTAGCATGAAGCATGTAGCCGATGGTAGGACGGATCTCGACTGCCTAGGTGCGGTTATTTTTGGTGAACTCTCAAGTTCTTGATTTCCAGCGGGCCGAGCCTGAAGGTCTGATCTCAGACCAATCAGTAGGATTTTTTTACTTTTAGGTGCGTCTGAGGGCTACATAAGTTCTACCGTCCAGTCCTTTGCTTTGCATCAACGCCTCGTCTTCACTCTTACAAGTCTTCTACTATAATCACATCCTCATGTCTCAACCAATCGTAGCGCCCAGGGCACGATGCACTCATGTTACTGATGGGGCTGTGACCTGTTACTATCCGCGGTTTAATCCTCCTTCGTCGCCATCCCAGGATCAGGTAGGCCTTCTTTCTCTACGACCAATGCACTCACGTACCACCGGGTTCTCTCAGATCAGCTGTGTTGACTGTGGACATGGTGTCCATGCACATGTCGACTACGAGTCAAAGGTGGTCTACCATAACCCCACCACTCATTGTGCGGCATTTGCTCAAAAGGTGCGCACTATTTCTCCGCATTCTTCTCCTTAGGACTGATACTATTCGTATTGTAGGCATATAAATCACATGCATGTACTTGCACCGTACAACTTTTTGACCATGAGGCCATCGTGAACGCGTATCATTCGATCTCAGTGCCTCACAGCCCGGTTCCCCCCACGAACAGTCTCGATAGCATCACTCCTTCTAATGCCAACGTAGCCAGACTCTCCTCCGGCACCGCCACTTTTGCTATTGCCTCGACCTCCATCCCTTCCGTCAATCCCAACTCTTACACTCCCGGAGACATCAATTCCACGCTCCTTGCCCCCATTCCTGTCATATTTCAGTCTAACAGTGTCCTCCATTTCTCCCAGAATGATGCTTATGCTTTCATCTCTGACCAGCAGTCAGACGGCGCGTCCCTGGTGACTGGCTCCCCCATCCACCACGCGCCCATGGGTTATTATGATTACCAAGGTCATTCGTTTGGAATGGATGGTGCACCATCCGCAGGCGCATAAGCCTTATACCTCTTTGATAGTCCACCGAGACCACGATTCACAAAAACAACGATAGCGATGATCATTCCCCATGGCAGAATCCACTTGTTTTCTTTTATTTCATCGACATTGCTCCTTACTGTTTTCCTGCCGGTGTCTACCTTGTATTCAAATAAGATATTCTCTTTTCTTTTCTTTGTGCTTTGATATCTGTACGTCTGTCGCTTTGAAATGCTGTTGTATGTAACAATCTATTGTCGTGTCGGAACTGAATATCATCATTGTGACTCTACGAGAAAGCTGTACATCTGATGAACAGAGACCTGAGCTTAGACTATAAGTAGAGAGTAGAGATGCAGTACGTCGAGCAACGGAAGAAAAGAAAGCATATTCCAAATCACGGTTGAGCTGCCAAATGCAAAGCGACCAACATTGTCGGAGATGCTGGTACTACGAGCGAGACAGACAGCACGTCACGAACATCTTTTCTTCGCTAATCATGAACAGTCGTGCAGCCTTGTGATGCGATAGAGATCTGCCGTAACCAGGGCTCCGGTCTTTCAATCTGAGAAATTCGATCCAATGAAGAACCTAATGGATATATGCTCATGAGAAAACGGGAGTATGAAAGAAAAGGATTGTACTATACTAAGTGCTATCCTCGTCGGCTTGAAGTGAACTGCATGGCCTCGTCTCGCCCGAGCGTATTGTGCAGTGATTAAACCTTCCCGAGCAAATGGGCGATCGGTGCGATAATTCCAGCAGAACATTTCACTGTATCCTTTTTGCTATTCTGTGGGTTCTCCGAGTCGTGCCAACTTTCGTTTCTCCTTTTCCTCTATCTCATCGGCCTCTGTGTTCCCTGCGTGCATCCGATCCACATTTTCAAATCCTTCAGTCCTCTTGAATCGTCGACCGAAGAATGGAGTTTCGCAGACGACAAGAATCGATGAAGAGAAAGGATTGACCAGGTGAAGAGATGAGCGACGAAGGGTCTTTTCTAAGTAAATTCGATACTTGAAACTTAAGCGCTAAGCGTTAAGCCTCCACGGTTGAAGTGAGCGGAACTTCCTGGAGCAGGTGATGTCCTGAGTCCTGACATGCATGGTCCTGGCATGTGGTGGCACAAGCGTAGGCGGGGTAACATGATACAGTATTGAAAATCGGGAAGGGATAGAGTCAGGGTCTGCTGGCGAGTCAACGAAAAGGATGGAATGAGAACTTCTTCTCAGGAATGATTAATGATTGATGAAGCATGATGTTGTGGTGGTAGCGGAGACTTGAACAGCGGGTAAGCATGAGCAGAGATACCGTTCCACTCCAAATATCCTCCCCGCCCTCCTTTATTTCCCTTCTCTATTTTCAAGTCTCCATCTCTGTCCATCATTCGTCATCAGAGCTTGTGCCTCAGTGTGTCCTACCGGTCCATGACAAGCGATAGAGACTCTGGGGTATCATGTGTGGCCGTGGCGGGTACTTGAGAATTCATAAAAAGGTGCCTTCTTGGACACATAGATGTGAGACAGCACGAGGCGGGATAGTCTATCACCAGATGAGCAGCAAGTTATGTATGCCTTGCGGCCACTGCCTGCCCCGAGACTAGCACTGGCAGTGGTTGCGCATGGCTCAGATACATAACATGTGACGTGTGACATTGAAGTCAGTTTTGAGAAGCTTGGCAGGCTAACATCGACACCAACATCGGTTCCTTCCCCGCATACTTTTCGAGAAAAATACCGAGCACTCCGAGTCCCAAGAGGTTTCTTAGACTTGCGTGTAAGTCAGCGAATGATCACTATGGGAAACGTTTTATAATGTAAGCACTGTCCCGGCTACCCATAGAAGGAATCGCCGTTGATGTGTCCAATGGGTCCGTAGGGGTCACTATTTTCTCGTGCCTCGGGGACGGCCTTGTTACTGTATATGGATTTCCTCGGCTAAGTATGCTTCTGCCCGATTCATCAGATCAATGCGATATAGTTTCCGAATTATCCTCCACAGCTATCTGGACCATTAAAATGTGCCGATATGAACTCCAACTGCCATCCCATTCTCACATCTCTCTCTCGACAACAGCGCTCCTCCAATGTCTTCAGCCTTCCTACCGTCTCGAGGACAGTGCACCCAGGTCGCTGACAACATCCAACACTGTCAGTGTCCATGGTTCACGTCGACCCTGGTGGATCAGGTAGGCTCACACCTGCTTCACCCGTATTCACCTACATATGTTCTCCCAGTCCGTCTGCATTAGTTGTGGGCACGGTATTCACGTGCATGTCGACTACGTTTCGATGGTTGTCCATCATCATCCCCCAACTCAATGTGTTGCCTATGTACAAAAGGTATGCTGCTAGACACTCTGCACCGCAGCTTGAACTTATGCAGCCTACACGATAGACACCTCTAGCACAACGTTGCACCTGTGAAGCTCAGCTTTTCGACCACGTCGCTGCGAACAACTCGTACCGTTCTGTAGAGCCATGGAACATTTTGAATTATTTCCAGGACAGCGATATCCCTTATTCCAACTTGACCCTCCATTCCCACGACCCCAATGGTTCATTCGCTCCGAACACTGGTCTTTTCAGCTGCTGATTCTGACACTGCCATCCGTTCTCATGACGTGAGCCTTATGCCAGTCACGTCAATGTCTACTTTATCCCCTGGTTTCCTCTATGCATTCAGCTCTCCCGGCAATGTGGAGAACATTCTCTTTACTTCCACCTACATTTCCTCTCCTTCATCCAGCATCCAACCTGATATCGCTGAGGCCCAAGCATATAACCCATATGGTTATTTCACTCAACATCCGGATTCTTTCACGAACAACTCCTATGCTGGTCAGCCAGGCGGAGACGCGACAAGTTTCGAATACCAGGATTATTCGAATCTAGTTTACCATCTGACATCTGATGCCTAGGTTTAGTTTGTGCCCACGACAGTATTCACACCCTTGTATGTGCTTGTTTTCATCACCCCACTCTTCTGCATGCTCATATCTTGTCCCCTCCCTATTTTTTAATTTTTATATTGACTATGTCGACACTGTAATTATCAGGCGCAAGATCCACATTCTACCTATGCATTGCACGCACCTTTACTTTCCTTTTCCTACTCGGCTCTTCTCTTCGCTAGTTGCTATTGCAATATCCTCAGGATAGAAGCTCCGATGTCCTAAATTTCACATTCTGCCAGTACTATAGAGATTGTTGGTTTTGGACGCGTCATATCTTTTTATCCTCTTCTGTGTTGTATTTTCCAATCCTTCTGTTGGGAATCTATTGGTTATCCTTTCCTATACAAATATATTGTTAAATCTTCTGCTTTGTGTCCAATACATATTTGTCCCTTCGGGTTGCTGTACTTGGTCTGTCTCTAATATTTTGTAATTGCTTTGGAGTTTAATTATAATACCCTTGATGGGCACATTCGACAAACATGGGTTTAATTTTTTATTGACGGGGTTTCCTAAGACATCATACAGAATATGAGCCCTTTCTTCTAGTGCATTTACAGTGTCGATCCTTAAATCAACCTCAAATTCAGGGCTCAGGAGATTGAAAGGTCTTGAGCTCTTTATAAATCAAATCATTGCCCAACTGTTGGCAGTATTGCAGTGGGAGGCTTGCAGTAGGAATAATACCTAATTGTTAGCTACCAGAGCTCCTAATGAGCTCCTTATATACTACACAAAGTATCTAGAATATTCTACCTAAAGTACTAAATATATCTAAGTATCGTGACAAAATGAGTAAGCCGATGCTTTGGGAATCTTCTAGTATGAGCTTGAAGTTGCAAATCCCAACACTCCCCTTCAACTTCAAGTTCCTAAAATGCATAATCTTCATCATCATCTTCATCAACTATATTTGCTCTGGTTGTATCTTCTCCCCCTTGAGCAATATTCGGGCACTTGTTTCTGTAGTGGCCTTTCTGCCCACAGCTGTAGCATATGATATTGGCTGGATCAGGAGGTCAGCCCTTGATTGATCATGTGGCTAATGCCATTTCAAATTCTGGTGAATTGAGTTTCCAGTGGTGCTCTTCATTTAGCAATCAGTGAGTGACATAATCAAAGTCTGGCCCTCATATCAGATCACTAGGATCAGTATTGGCCTCGATGTATGATTTGATGGCAGTAACAATATTCTTGTAGCTTGGGGGTAAGGATGCCAATAGGATAGTCATCCTAAGCATGTCTACCAGTGTGATTCCAATGTCCTTGAGAGACTGGTCAAGTTTATTGAAATTATTTATATGCTCCTGCATAGATGCTCTCTCTTCCATTCTGAGAGACACAAATCTATGAAGAATGGTCATACGATTGGCCCATCCTGAGGATTCATAATATTCCTTCAGAATTTGCCACATTCGGGCAGGGTCCATGGTCTTCTGAGTTAGCAGTAACACAGAATCAGACACATGCAGAATGATCTTGGCAGCAGCAAGCCTCGTGCACTTGTTCCAGACAGTCTGTGTTCATGGTCCACTTGTGGGATAGGGTTCTGTACCTGAAACTATTTCCCACAAATCCTTCTGAATCAAGTGCATTTCCATGCGGTACTTCCATGTGAAGTAATTCTCCTCATTCAGGAGATCAAATCAGTTGCTACTCTGGTCTTCCATAACTGGAGATATCAAAGTGGTATGTAATGAGTATGTAATGTGCCTGAAAAGGTGAGTATACGGTGCCTAAAAAAGACTTCAGGAATGGGGTGCTAACCTAGAAAGGGTTTACAGCGACTAATACAACAATTTCACCTATGTAGAGACAATTTACAGTGGTGTAGAAATGACTTTTAATAACTTCATCTACCTAAAGAGGAATTACGATAGCCTAGAAAGGACTTCATGCACCAACCTAGAGAGGAATTACAGTGGCCTAGAGAGGACTTTTAATTACACCTGCCTAAAGAGGACTGATGGTGATTGACATTGAAGAGGCTGGCTGTGGGCACCTGTGGAATAGTGAGTGGGCTAAAAGGCGAACCTCAAACACTCACACACACACTCACACAACTACACAAACTACAATCACCCTCATAAGTTCTAGGGGGGGCGATTATTTCTAATGCAATCTAACTATACTCCAATATCTCGCAGAGTTTCTCTTATTCTTGATGCTCTTAACAAAGCTAAGCTTTCTCTAAGGAATTCCTAAGTCTAGAAACTTTTACAGGAAGGTCATTCACTGGCACGATGCAACCTTCAAGGCAGATTCAAGTTAAAATACACAAGAGACACTGATCCTGACAGAAACAGAAATGATACACATTGAAACAATAGTGAGCTCACTAAAAGAACACCACAGGCAAGCACTGACTTAGCCTGCTCACTACACAACTGTATGTAGGGGTTCTCCAACTAACTCCAGCAGGTTATCTCGACTCAAGAACACTTCAGAAGTGCTCGGAAACAGATTCAGAAATGGAACTTCAAACAGAACTGACATGGAACAGACTGAAACAGAATAGAACAGAACAGATCTCAGATTTCCACTTCAACACATTCTCCAAACAGAAACAGCATCACTGATTTGTATTCACTCTGACTATGTTCTCAAAAGTCTTATCAAAAGGGTATCTCGTATTTCTCTGAGTGAGCTCACTAATTCTATGCAAAGCTCGAAGTCACAAACTGATCCTTTGTTACAGTACCACCTTCAACACGTGCACAGGAACTTGGGGGCTTGAAACTTGGCTTTTACCTACTGTAACCAGCCTACTTATACTACAGGAGAATTAGAATTACAAATGTTGTGCAGTATCCAGACTCCTACATGCATAGCACATTGCCACTGCCACCTTACTGAGCATCCAGGTCAGACTTCCCAGTTTTAGTCTCATTTCTATAGTGAGCTCACTAAACACATGCCAAGAGGTGCTCTCCCGACACCTGTGGGCTTGTTCTCTAGCAACTGACAGGTCTAGGTGCACAGAACTATCAGTCCTGGCATATGTCGTTCAGGACTTCTTTCTTGGATTCACAGAGGCTTCTCATAGACATGGCAACAAGTGAGTCTTCTAACAATGGGACTCAGAGCAATGGGACATGGGCTCATGGACTTCAGCTGAAGCCCATTGCCCAAGTTTGTGCTGGTGATATCTGTCATCTCGCTTAAGGATTTCCCTGGATTTTCAGGTATGACACATCACAGTTAGCGAGCGTGCTAAGTATTCTCAGTGTCACTGCAATCTTCAAGGTTTTATCTAGCTCCCACAAGTGTGCTTGTAAGTTAGAGCCTAAGGCATTGGGTATAGGGTTTGGCCTTCTCATCATGCATGCCCATCAGGTACAGTGCTGTGACTAAGTCTTGTTTAGAATCCCGTTGCTTCTTATGCCATAAGTTATATTCCATATCATTGTACCACGTAGCATTAGTGTCGATGCATAGTTTTAGTCCGCTTGCTCACTATATCTCAGTATGCATGTAAAACACGTTAGATTGCAAAATTACACATGTAAATAGGCTGCAGTCGCAACAATGTGTGGCTAGAAAGCCGGCTCAGGTGGTCCAAAAGAGAATGTGTGTGGAAGATGAGACTTCTACTGGAACTCGGGGCCTATAACCTGTTGGCAGTATTGCAGTGGGAGGCTTGCAGTAGGAATAATACCTAATTGTTAGCTACCAGAGCTCCTAATGAGCTTCTTATATACTACACAAAGTATCTAGAATATTCTACCTAAAGTACTAAATATATCTAAGTATCATGACAAAATGAGTAAGCTGATGCTTTGGGAATCTTCTAGTATGAGCTTGAAGTTGCAAATCCCAACACCAACTTTCCTCAAGTCTTGTGACAAGAACTGGACCATGTATTTATACAGTAGAAGTAGAGTGTTTCAGCATCATCAAGTGTGCCAGTTTATTTTGTAACTTAATTTGTCATGCAGATCCAATCTCAGCAAATTCCAACAAGCTCCTATTTGTCCTTGAAAAAATACCGGCTCTTTTATACACCTTTGCCATATTGGTTTCTACTGCCTGTGCCAAGATTACTGAACTGGCAGACCATATACTACAGCATACTCTTGATGGCCTGGATGCATACTGATGACATATCTGCTGGTGCTCCATCCAAGTCTCTTCTTGTCATGAATTCACCTCTATTTTTTGCCTTAGTCATTTGCTTCATGTCATCTTTTCTCAGTCGTCATCACTCTCTCATCATCACTCTTACCCAGTTCATTCGTAACCTGCTTGCTGACACTATTGCATCATCATCATGCTTCCATCATAGCATCTTTGTTCCGATCACCAACAGTCGCTTCTCCATCAGTTGATCCCTGGTTCGTGGCAGACTAGCTAAGGCCTTTTCTCTTAGGCAGGGTTCTGTCCACAAGGGCACCGCATGTCCAGAACCTGGCTAGTCTTGCTGACTGCTCACCATTGGATACTACACTCATTGGTGCATAACCATTGGACAGATAACACTACTTTGTCAGCCTGGACTTATTGTAGCATAGTAATTATTAGCACACTGAACTTGTATTTAAGTAGGCCTCAGCTGTGAGACAAACCCCAGCTTTGGCTAAGGTTATACACTCCCAACTTTAGTGACTCCAAGCTCCATGACTATCTAAGTCCCAACTATCAACAAGATATCTGCATTGCTACCTTTGTTTCATCTCACTGAAGTGCAAGTGAGTGAACTAAGGCTCGACCTTGCAGAAGTCAAGTTGGTGCTTGACATTTAGCCGAAGCTTGTCTTACTACCCTCATCATTGTAGAATGACAGTGACTGTAGGAACCATGAATCCCTCATCTTTGCTGACTGTCACATTGGCAACACACCCACACCCTACTCCAAGGGTACCAACCCTCTTCAGTGGGCGAGTAATGGGCCCTATCCCCTCTGCTCTTGTTGTTTTGATTAACAGACAACTGCAGTAGCTGGAACATTCAAGAAGGAAGCTTTGTGGCCATACAAACAACTTTTGAACGTTCACCCCTACAAGAAACATTTTATACTTTCATCATGTGACATGATGGTGACTGTATGAACTCAACAAACCCTACTACCAGCTGCCTTCATATTCTGAAAACCCTTCTATCCCTGGGAAGACATCCCTTACACTGCACCACTTGATCCTATCCACGACCGCAAAATGGATCAACCCCAGCCAGCCCCAATGCCAGAGACAACCTCCAAACCTGATCTGATGAGTTAGGACATAACACCCTGACCCAATATGCCAGAAACCTCCAGTTCACAGTCGAATACTGGGAAGATCTCCAAGGGTCCTGGGATGATCCTAATATCCTCCTCACCTTCAATGTCCACCAGTTCTACACTAACGAGTACAACCAACTCATCAATGTATGAACTCTTGAACAGTATGACAGAAATGCCGCTGATAGAACAGAGTGGAGAAGAACCACCTCCAAAGGGGCCAACGACCCTTTCCTCCCTACTTGGAGATCCAATCAAGGAGGTGGACCAGCCACAATCAGAAGAACTGACACAGGAGGACATCAAGGAGATGAATCCTGAGACCTATTGGGAGGCACCAGACCTATACCTCTCGCTGAGGACTCTTCCAAAACCACTCCAAGAGAGGTATGGGAAGTCCACACTGAGTCAGACATTCCCTCGCAAAACTCATACCACGAGGGAGATATCTCCAGTTGGAGTACCGACTCTACCGATGGGACAGAAGTCCTCTGGCCTGAATCCGAAACCTCCCCAAGAAGATCTGCTCACCTCTGTCTCTGGATACATCAAATCACTCTCCAAATCGCTCATTGAATCCACAAATGGATCAGGAGAGAAAGAGGAGTGGCCGAGGAAAAAAGGATACTGGATTGAGGATCACTCTTTCCAATGGATTACTGGATCACCCCTGAGGAGGGATCCTGGGACTTACCCCCTATGGTCTCCAGTTCAACCATTGATAACACCTGGCACTCGAAGGCTGGAGACAGATGGGATTCCCCCTGGCTGACTGCCCCTGTCCCCTCGGCAGTTGGCGAAGAATTATGGGACTCGCTTTCAACTCCTATCTTCATTGAGGAAGAATACCAAACAGTCCTGGAGGAAGAAGGAGACAGTGAAGCCATCAACAATGACTCTGAGACCCTTCATGTCTTTGGTGCTGAATTTCAGCACTGAAGACATATTCAATACCAAAAAGTTGGGGAGGGGCTGGACCAAACCACACCTACCATCTGAGGTGTTTTGGACTACGTCCCTAGATCCCAAGTTGGGAAGGAGGGTTCCCTCTCTCTCGAAACACAGAGGTGTGTCCTGCTCCCAGGGGGCAGATAGAGCAATGGACATTGACCATCTCAAATAAGAGGGATGGTGCTTCTGATGTGGACTACCAAACCACATCGCGAAGAACAATGAGTGCCCAAAGGACAAATGAAAATGGAGGATCAGGACCAAGAAGAACCCCTTGGCACAATGACAGCAAGTGGAGTTCACAGAAGGATGATGCCTTCGCTGTGGATTCCTGAGACATGCCAGACAGGACAACAGATGCCCGTTTGACAGATCCAAATGGTGTTCTGCTTGAAAAAGTAGAACAAGAAACCTCATCCACTATTATCATGAAGAAGAAAAAGTTGACAAAGGACTAGGCGATATGCTCTTGTATACTAGGACTTAAACTTCTTTCGGTAAAGCCCTACTTATGAATTATCACGTTGAAATTATTTATGTAGAAATTTGTATGGACAATAAATCCCTTTTGTTCCAAGAAGACGGGGAAGGAAGGAAAACCTTTAAAAACCCATCACAAGGATGGAAGAACTCCAGGCAACGTGCTGAAATCATAAGCACACTGGATGACTCCTCATGATGGAGGATAGAGACTCCAGGCGATGATGCATTGGACGAATCCTTGACATCTAAACTGGACACTGGTTGATCAAATGGCCTGATGACTATGACCCAATTCACCAAGATGAAGGGACCCATCAAAGCATAGGAGCAATGTCTTGGACCCATTGCTCATAAAAAGCCAGAGGAAGACAACTCACCCATAGGAACCTTCATCATGACCCACGACCAGAAACATTTGAGAACCCAGATGCCAGTATCAACACGCTGTGCATCGAGAATAGTGAATGGCCAAGAAGGCCAGAAGATCCTAGGAACCTACTACAGTATGGAACTGACCGATCATTTATCTGGGCCACGACCAACAGACCATGGGCCCTGGAAGAAGAAACCCATCCATGCAAGTTGGAACCCCATAGATAACAAAAGAAATCTGGTAAGCCTGCCCAAGTAAAGAAGCTAATGAAGTGTGGGAGCAACAACTCAATGTCGTCTACCATAATGACAAAAAGAGACGACTCACCCATTGAATCTTCATGACGAGGCACACTGGATGATCCCTCATGACAAAACTCAACTAGGACCTAGTTCACCAAGATGAAGGGACCCATCAAAGCATAGGAGCAATGTCTTGAACCCATCATCTGTAAAAGGCCAGGGAGAAGGCAACTCACCTGAAGGAACCTTCATCATGACCTATGGCCATAGAATTTTGAAGGCAATTTGTCAGGAGCAACAGGGTATGAGGGATTTTCCCGCCATCAAATCAGCACAGAACCCCACAAGTCAGGACATGCTGCTTGGTGGTGGTGCTGACAACACAAGAAGATGGGTGAACAAGGCCCCAACTCTTGGGAAAGCTGGTGCAAAGCCAGCAGAGATGGTGTAGGAGGGGATTTCCACCGCTCTTCAAGCACTGAACCCCAAGGGCATAGCCCAGTAGAGCCAAGATGCTCTGTGCAGGATCAGAGTAGGCTCATCCAAAAATCCTGGAAAGCCAACTCAAAGGTTGGCAAGATCTAACGAGAACCTCAGCGTAATAGAGCCCAAAGGTTTGGAGGTAACCTTGTCAGATGCTCCTCAAACAACTGAAGAGGGGCAGAGGGGCTCCCTTCGGGTCTATATACCCCCGGGTGAAGACGAGCGGTGGGACATGAGTCCGATGAGCGACTCGGGAAAGCCGCTTCACCAAATGGCAGGATCTCTGACCAAGGTAGGGGAGATCTCCAAGGATGGACAAGACAGGAGCCAGGGAGAGATGGAGAAACTGACCCCCTTACGACTCCCACCTTTGGCATTTATTCCACTTAGAGTGGAAATCACTGATGCCTTGAGACACAATGACTCCTCAATCAAGAGCTGCAACCAAAGTCACTCAATCGCCCACAAGGATCAAGAGGGCTGAACAGGGGAGAGAGGCTCTCCTTTACTAACAATCACTCCTCTAAGGAACAGAGTTTATGGAACTCTAAAAAATCTGGACTGTGCGGGCCATCCCTGAGTGGAAAAGACCTTAGTAGCCAAGGTGAACAGGCAGGAAACCCAGTACCTGTAGAAGCACAAAGGGCCACAAGACCTACAGTGAATGGTGACAGGGAGAAGACCCCAGTGCCAAATGAGGGAAACCTCAAGTACTCATCAGTGAAGTATCCCTCGGACCATTGATATCTGGAGCCTTACATGATTAGATGGGTTTGGCAGGCCATGCACCTACAACCTGAGGCTGCCAAGGCCCATCTACAAAGGTGGATACCCAACATCAACGACCGAGGACTCAACTTTCTTCTACAACTGATATACCACATGAAGGGGCAAAAAACATCACATTCATTGAAGATTGCTGCCATAGTGGTAACATGAACAAAAGCTTTCATGCTGCTGCTGTGGACCAGCAATCAGGAATGTGCTGCACATGCTCAACATCCAATGCTTCCCTCACTGACATATTACAAGTTGCAGATAAACGATGAAGGGGTTTTCCCAGCTATCAATCAATATTAGAAGACTGTGGAATTCGGTGGGGCATTTACCACAATACTCAGGACACTGACAGAAAACAGGTGTCTGACCCAGCCTGACCACTCCAGTACATTCGAAGAAAGGGGTCGTAATATCACCATTTCCATCCAGCTAGAGGCATATGACACTCTAGCCAAGTGTTCTCTCTGAGCACCAGTTGATAACAGGTGCACCGGAAGTGCAATCGACCATGGGTAAAGGACCAATAAGTTTACCAAACAAAATTTCTCAAAGATCATCATCTGAGCCACATCTGTGACTGAAAAGGAGGACTTCCATAACAAAGTATGTCTCTATTCACGACTTGCAGCACACAAAGGATGATCTGAAAAGAGAAATTGACTGAGACACCAAAACCATCACCCTAGCAATTGTTAAAAAGGTTCCCTTCCAGTCACCAGATAAGGATCTGACTAGTCCAATACTTGATCAAGTGGCAAGGAAACCCAGTAGAGGAAAACTCCTAGGTTCTTAGGGAAAACCATATGAAGGAATTAGTAAACAAGCACAGATCGATGCCATATGAGTGCCACCATCTCCCTCGAACATTTTCACCTCTGAAGGAAACCACACTGCATGCAAGGTCGCTGAAAGTCAACAGCCCCAAGAGGGTGAGACAATCAGTGCAGGCAGTGCTAGGGACAAAGCCGAATGCAGAAGGGGCATAGTAGACCCAATGCAAAACTGTTTTAAAGCAAACAGTGTCCTTTCCTTCAGTAGTATCCACTCATCAAGTTACCAAAACTCAAGACCATGCCAACCCTAAAGGAGAAAACCTTTAAAGAAATCATGCTAGAAATCTATCAAGATTTCATAGATGTGTTCACCAAGGAAAACTTTAACAAATCACCCCCACAAAAGCATTGGGATCATGTTGCGGAACAGATACCCAATGTCAATACCAGTCTAAAAAGGCAATAAATCCCTCTTGCCATTGAAAAGTCACAGGAAAGGAAGAAAAACCTTTAAAAATTGATATAATATTCAATCACGTCTGAACAGGGCATACAAGGATGCCACAAGACCTAGATTGTTATGCCTGAAATCAACTGTCAGGAGTTATTTGTCATAATAACTATCTGATGGGGTGACACCACTATCTCAAAGATCCTAGAGTTTAAAGGGACTCTATATTGGGACCTCCTGAGATAAAGCCTTGATAAAAATTCAGTGAATTACTGAATAAACCAAGTTTACCACCTTTTCACCAAACCAGAGTTATTGGACCCTAGATGCATAGGTACTGCCAATCCCTTTTGCTGGGAGATGCGAGGCTATGGAAGCCACACAACCAAACAACAGGAGGAGAGTTCTAATCAATTTCACCAAGATGAAGAAACTTGTCGAAGCGTAGGAACAAGGTCTTAAACCCATCACTTATAAAAGCTAGGGGAAAGACAACTCACCTGCAGGAACCCTCACTGTGATCTATGACTAGAAGGACCCTCCAAAAGGGGTCTGAGTGGAAGGGATACTGTCCAAACGTACCTTACCCCAGACAGACCCAAGACAACTGACAGTCTGTTCATGAAAAGACAGATTGACAGGCAACAATTGAGAACTACCTCATTAAAAGATTGATGACTGAGAACAGTCCATGTGTACTGATCAGCAAGGCGCTCGCAGATCACCAACACCCTGAAATCATGACTATACCTCGACAGAGTATCCAGAAGCAGATACAATGAGATATAGGCTGTTATGAACAAAAAACAAGGAATTATTGATCATAATAATTGCCTTGAATAAGAATAACCCTAAGAAGGAACCTGAAGTTTGATAACTTTGTGGTAACACCATTTTCCAATGGAGAACGTACCCAAAAGCTTAATCGCAGAAGGAGATGTTAAGATCCATTTGGACCACCTATTAAAGCAAAACAAGCTCTGTACTCATTGTGCTTGCCATCCAAAAATGATGAAAGAAAGATCCAACTGGAAGTGGACTCTAATAAAGGCACCAGTGGTGCCAGAAGCAGGAATCAAAATTCCCTATTATTCCATGAGGGATGTATTCATCACCATCGCAATAAAGAAAGAGGAGAATATGGGAAGACAACTTATCTGAGAAGACCTTCATGATGAGACACACTGAAAAAATGGGCATCAACTCTCAATGAAAAACTCAACAATTTTGGAAGATGTCTCAGAAGATACCTTTAAAATGAGTCCCAGCAGCAAGGCCATGCCCAGAATAGTAGATGATGATATTGGGCTGGTCTCATCAGCATTGATGCATATTCGAACCATCCTTTGTGCAAAAAAAACCACATCCAGTGTCTCCTCGACCCTCAATATCCAAACAACCCTCAAAATCGGGCAAGGACAGAACTGCTGAGAAGTCACTGAATATCTGGTCAAGTGGAGAGGATATTCCAATGAAGAAAAACTCATGGGTCCTCAGGGAAAACATGGCCAACATGGAAGAACTGGCGAACGAGTACGAAGCGCAGATCAGCGCCGTACAAATACCACCTCTTCCTCCCCATATTCCCATCTCTGAAGGAGACCATGCTGTGTGCAAGGTTGCTGCTAATAGCCAACAGGACATTAAGTATGAGGCAGGCAGTACAGGGGGTGCTAGAGACGAAGCCAAACCCAGATGGGGGGGTAGCAGACCCAATACAAACCTGTTTTAAAGCAAACAGTATCCTTTCCTTTAGCAGTATCCACTCATCAGAAGGAAGAGGACATATTCATCAGAGAATTATATGCCCTGACGAATATTCAAGGGAATCCATCCACTGCTTACCACCTACAGATGGATGGTCAGACCAAACAAGTTAACCAGGAACTTAAAAAGTACCTGCGAAACTTCATCAATTTTGGACAATATGATTGGAGTGACTGGCTGCCCATAGCAGCTTACGCTCTAAACAATCAGGAACATAGTTCAATGGGATACTCCCCTATAAAGTCCTCTTTGGACAAGATGGGAGAATTTGACTAGTCACCCCTCAGACTACCAAAACTGCCATCAGGTGAGGCAAGTGACGAGTCCATGTCACCGAATACCTTGTCAAATGGAAAGGTTATCCTATCGAAGAAGCAACATGGGTACCTTGAAGTCAGCTAGCCAACGCTAAGGAGCTCGTATTGGAATACAAGCAATGTCTAGGAGCTCTCTTAATGGATGCCAAGAATGAAAGTTCATTCTCAGATGACTCCTACTCATCTTGGGATGGCAAATCTGACACCGGCTCAGTTGGGATGACTGAGTCTTAGGGAGGGGGTAATGTCACAAATTCACCCCTATTTTTCACCTTAGTCATTTGCTTCATGTCTGTTAGCGACTGATTACACAAACAAGATCAAACAACTAAGCGTGACTCACACTTCGGTCAGGCGCTTTATGTTGCTCGCAGGTTTGAGTGCAGGGAGCTATCACTTAGTTGAGCGAGAGTGAGTTCAGACTAAGTTATCAGGTGAATAAACTTTAGTTCGAGACTGAGGTTTAAGACCTGCAGTCGAGCTACTTAAATACAGTTTGGGTTGTGCTAAATATACTACAAGTGTCTGCAACGGTGCGGTAAACGTACTGAACCCTCATGGTGGAATGCGATCAAGTCTGGAGAATTAGCATAGCAAGATTACGAGAGAGCCAATAAGATAAGATAAAGCGCGAAATCGTAATATTACCCCCCTGTTAAGGCAGTCGTCCCGACTGCAACATAGTTTGGTTTTGGGAGATGAGCTCCTACAAGCAAGGGTGCGTTTGGTTTTTCCAGGTATTCTTGTATTGCCTGTACCAAGGGGTGGTCGACTTCGGATTCGGTTACCGACTCTGTTTCTGACCAGGAGTTGGATTCGTCACTTTCCTCCCACCAGTCTGCGGGTGGACGAGTGATGAACGAGACTTGTTCAAAGTCTTTGATGGCATCCCTGGCGTTGTCCAAGTCTTGCTCGTCTACCCAGGAATTTTCCTCTCTCGGATATCCTTTCCATTTTACGAGGTATTCGATTCCGGTGCTTCGTCTTCTTCCTCTCCCTCGGGCTCTTTCTCTTCGGTCCACTATTTCTTCTACTTCGTACTGTTCTTGTCCGTCTATGAGATCCGGCGGTGGAGCTGTGGGCTGTACTTGGATTGGGAACTCTGGGGGATGATATGGAGTGAGGATATTTTCATTGAAGCGGTCGTGGATTTTCCACGTGGACGGAAGGCGCAATTTGTATGTGGAGGCGCCATGTTTGGATATCACTTTGAACAGTCCGACACGCTTGTCCCCTAATTTCTTCATTGGTCGAGGAAGGTGTAGGTTTGTGGAGTCCAACCAGACTTTGTCCCCTGGTTGATACTCTATCATTGTTTGCTGATGTTTGTCATATTGTCGCTTCATGACTTCCGCTGCTTTTTCCAGTGCCCTTGTCATTTGTTCATGTATCTTTT